CAGCAATACATTTGGCATGGAAGTTTAAGCATGACATGATTCAGGTTTATAACGATTACATTACAGCAGTTATTGAAATCCAGGCTTGAATTTAATATTTAATCTGTCTCTACTGACAGATTTCATTTACCCTCCTAATTACCAATGCCCAGAGACTGCATTTTCACCTTCTTTATCCTGAACTACGGCCAAATGTCAGCCCTGAAGTGGGGCACAGGCACCCCTTAAGGCAGCAGAGGAGCCGAGTGTTGCCATACAGCACCATCTAAGGGCTCTCCATAAGTACTGCTGAGGGGATGTATGGAATGACACCTATGGATTGGCTCGTGGATGCTCCCAGCCAGGCACACACCAGTGTCCCCACAGCAAAACTCTCTGAGCAACTGTTTCCTCAGGAATCACTGGGAAAACAAAGTTACTGAGAAGCTGCCTGAGGAATAATTTTCAGAATAACAAGATTTACCTCTGTCATCGGCAGAAATTTGTTTCTCTCTGTGGCAATCTCTTGGCATGCAGACAAGGTGCTTCATTACAAACACTCTAAGAACAGGAGGAGAAAATGTTATAGCTTCTAGATTTAGAAACTGAGAAAAAAGAGTAGTTTTAATTCTACCCAGCTTGTGCAGTATTTAAATCTCTACTTCAGCTTCTCCAGGCAAATTTTTTTTTTCTTTGTAATTTATACAAGTCTTGCTCATGAAAATATCATCTTCTGCAGTGGTTTTGTGACGCAATCTACTTAAGGAAATACCATACTAACCAGAGGATCCACTTAGTCCAGACTCAATCTCAAGGAACACCCAATAAAGAAAAAAAAAAAATTATGAAAGCAAAAGTATTCAAACTGTCCCGCAGAAATGCCTTGCATGTTAGATGTTCATTAAGGTTCAACATTTAAAAATGTTAGATGAAAGATATTCAGAATAGACTGGTTTACAGGATCCATTCCTGTCTCCACAGCAATGTTTTCTCAGATGAAAGAATTGGCAATAGGCCAAACAAAATTATTTGGATTATCCCAGTTTCCCTCTTAGATTTCCTGTCCCACTGCAGATGAAGTTTACCACCCCAAAAACGGAGAACTGACCTGCCTAGCAGGACAAACCTCAGGCAGCCTTTTTTCTAGGACCTTATTCCATCACATGTCGGCACATGCTCCACTGCTGACCTCTCCTGACCTCAGGGTGTGGAGAAGCATCAGCATTTCTGACATGGAAGGAATTGTGTGTGATGAAAGTGAGTGTCTGGAGCAGTGTCTCCAGCTAAACTGAAAGCCACGTGCATTGTGCAAGACATAAAACTGGGACCTTCAACAAATCATAATTCAGAATAACTGCTTAATGTCAGTACACAAATAAAGCATTCAATGGCTTTTAGTCGTGCTAGTGCTGTACAGTGGCCGTGCTCTGCTCCATCGTTGTAGGTATGGAAATGACGGTACTACAGAGTCCCACATTAAAGACTCCTTCATTTCTAAGAATGTCACATTCTAATGGATAGTGAAAAAGAAAAGTGAAGGACAGCAATATTTGAATTGAAATCTGAAACATTAATTCTCAAATCTCATCCGTTTCTATTGCCACTGCATACAGAAAGAACCAGACAGGTTGTAAGTGCCGCATTGTAGCAGTCTTAAACAACAAAAAAGAGTTTTTTTTACTTTTACTGGAGCTGTTTCTAAAAGCTTATTGATCTTGACCAGAGGTCCTTACTTCTCCTGTAAATCAGAAGTTAAGAACATGACTTCAGCTTCTTGTTTTGAGTCCTGCAGATATCAGATATTAGCAGCTGTTGTTCAGTGCAGACAGACAAATCATACTCACAGCTCAAAATAAAGAAATCCTGTTTGGGTGAACACAATTTGCTCTGTTCATCAAGGGCACGAAAAGTCATTCCTCTTAGCCTCAAATAGAAGTCAAGATTTACAGGTAGATCATTTTGTTAAGATTCATGCAGTGTTAAAAAAAAAAAGAAAAGAAAAGAAAAAAACAAAAAAAAAAAACAACAAACCAATATTTGCAACATAATTCCCTTTCCCATTTGCTGAATATTTTACTTGATTGAGCTCTGCCAGATACCATGCACTTGCCATGCTTTTGACATGGCATGTGTCTTATGCAGCTGCCTGTTCTGGAATCTGATCTATCTGACCTCAATTATGCAATTACAGTAATATTAGTCCTCTGTGAATTTTACAAGACTGGGATAGCTGAACAGCAGAGTTTCTCTTTAAACTTCAGAAGAGGAGGGACACCAGAGCATAACAGGCTTGTGAAACACATGCTGACCTTTCAACACATTGACCTGTCGTGCTCTGAAAAGCTACCAATGAATAGAGGGGAGAAGTCAGTGCTGGAAGTGACAGGGTGGAAAGGAGAAAACCACCACACTGACAAGGCATTATTTTCCACCTAGTGTCCATGAGCACAAAGGTGATAGGATAACAATATTTCTGGCAGAAAAAGTACACCCAGCTGTTTCTTACTCAGATCTAGGTGTAAAAGACAAGCATCTGAGCAAGAGTAAAAGCTCCTGGTCTAGCTTCTGATGTTGCAAGGCACATTAATTGTTGCAGCTTCTGGTATCACTAAAGAGCCTTCGTCCAGTCAGACTAACAATTTACAATTCAGAGTTAAGGTGAAACAAGCAACTTCTTGCTCTTACTTTACAGGCTTTGCCAGATTAGATCAGATAAAGGCACACATTCAGTGCAGACCGTCAATCATTTTCAACCACGTTCAATACCCCTTCTGGTTCAGTCTGTGAAATCCATTCTAAAGGAGTTAAACCAGAAATTCTTAGCACCCCAATTTCCCTTTCCTCTATGGATTATTTTGCCCACTTCAAAATACTAGGAAAGCTTCTCTAAATAAGACTAGACCTTACAGTGATGGCTGAAGTCTTTTTCCTTCCACGAGAGGAGGGTCTGACATCACAGTCTGGGAACCAGCTTAGCTCCTCTTCTTGAACAGAGGCAGGATACACCTTAGTATAGTTAACTTGTCCCTGTATTTCCCATCCTCCACATCTTCCTAGGATGGTGTCTGCTTTCTTCTAAGATTTGATGAGAGAGAGAAAGAGGAGTAAAGGGCAAAGGTAACCAAGAGGTCAAGAAGAGACGCATTCCCTCAGATGCTGCTAACAAGGCACAGCACAGGAGTTTCACACGGCTTCAGAAACCCTTGTTCTCCGCTGGTGAGCTCCATCCAAGCCTGGGTTCACCGAGGTTACAGCAAAAGAAAAGGTTGCACTTTTGTTGATCAACGCTGCTAAGCAACAAGTCATAAAAACCAACATCACCCTTGTCTTCTGCTGGTTGCAATTAGAGAACTACAAACAGGATCACAGATTCAGGGCTGGGAGAAAACCTTTAGCAGCGAGTGTGCACTGCTCCCAGCCACACAGCTTGTGCAGCAACTTCTCATTAGACACACATTCCGCATCCCCAGCCATTGCAGCCTGCACAGGGCAGGTCAGCCCAGGCCTCTGAAGCTGTAGCAGCTTTGGCTTCTCGTCAGTTGTAATCTTTAGGTTGTAGTGGTCACTTTCAATTGAAGAAACAAAGCAGAAGTGTTGTCAGTCCCTGATTAACTTCATGAATATTTGAGTCATGTTAAAAAGTGTATAACTAGAGCTTTCTACTCTACCAGCAGAAGAGATGTAAGAGAATATAAAGACACAGTAACACAGAGCAGGAAATCACTCTGACACAGTATTTTAAGGAAAAATACAGGAATTTTATAATGCTTTCTGAAAGGTGAAGTTTTTAACTTGTTAGAAATAAACAATGTTTTACTCAAATTACAAGAACTTCTAATTATTCCCCACTTAGAGCAAAATTGGAAACAAACCCACCTAGTGCCAAAGGACAAGTGTCACATGGTCCCATGCAACACAAAAATCCAAAAGTTAGGAATGGGAGTTGAATTTATAATTTTTGTAAGTCTCACACAGCAAACACTGCCAGTCACATCAGTTTCTGTGGTTTCACAGTGAATTATCCAAGATAATTCTTATGCTCCCACAGGAGGAAAAATAGAGAAAATAGGCATTCTTCCTACTGCTCCACAATGTACCTTCTCCATATACTACCATGAATGTCAGCTCTTCTTTTCCTTCCTTGTTCATCAGCTGAACTATACCTCAGTATGACAGGAGGGAACAGAGTAAGTCTGTCATCCTTCCATTCTAAGTATGCACTCTAATTGCTTGTGAGTTTTTAATTCTGAAATTTTTATTCTCAGTTTACAAATGCTGGTAATGTTCCATTATGAGGTGGGTTACTTTTAAATAAACTGTAAGGAATATTACTGTGGAGTAGCTGAACTGGTTTTCAGAAGAAGAATCCTGTTGCTAGTCAGTCTGTGTGCTGATGATTATCCAGCTCTTCAGGGGAACACGCTAATGTTTCCTTAAATACACTCTCTATCAACTTTTGTTCAATCTCTCACCAAATTATAGATGTTTCAGAACAGTCCAGTAGGAATACTTACAGAACCACTAAGCTCTATGAAAATATTTTTCTCATTTTAACTCATGGAGTATGTTACTTATGACTCTGCATCCAAGGGGGAGCAACAGAGCACTCTGAGAAAGGAAAATAAAGGGGAAATAAGGATGTTTGCACCAGTAGAGAGCAAGTCAGTAATTGAATCCTGCCAGTCAGTAATTGAATCTTCTTTCTTAAGAAAGAAAACTTTAGGAAGGGGAGTACATACAGTTTACAGAATCACTAGGCTGGAAGAGACCTTCAAGATCATCAAGCCCATCCCATGTCCTAACACCTCAACTAAACCATAACACCAAGTGCCACATCCAATCTGTTTAAAAGAAGTTATTTTGTATTATTTAGCTTTACTAAACTCCCATGCCTCAAAATCTTGAATAGCCAACATATTGCAGATTTCACAAATAAGCAATATATGTGAGGAGAATATAAAGGCTGAAGCAGCATGCAGAACAGGAAGTAATGCATTTACAGAAGCCAAGGGCAGATTAGATAGCAAAGAAAAGTTTTTTATTACTTAAAGCAGGACATTACAACAGAACAGTAGTCAAGAAGGGGTCACTGGGTCCTGTCACTGAAAACAGAGAGATTAGATATGAAAGGAATAAGTCACACTAAGAGCATGAACTTGCTAAGAGCATTTTTTCAACCTTAAGTAACATGGCTGTAAATATACGTGGGGCTCAGAGTAAAGACTACTGAACTGCAACCCTTACACTCTCTGACCTGTTTCAGAGTCCTGGGTAAATCACTTGATCTCACCACTCTTGTTTTTTCCAGCTGTGAAACACCAGAAACATCTATTACACAGGGACCTGGGGAAAAGTTTCATACTTACAGACAACTGCAAGACTTTGTAGGAATCGACCTTGTGTATCTGAAGTTTACTCCTTACCTCCCATACTAATTTGTCTAACAGTCTGTCATACCTTCATCTACAATCTTCATCTTGCTATTGGCTTCTCATTAAGTTACATTATTTTCCCATACTATTCTGCAATAGTTGTGGGTTTAAGTGTTAACATGAGAGCAGCTTGACAGCTCCAGAAACTAAGAATATGTCAACATTGTACTCAACAGATTTGTTTACTATCTTTTTTCCAGAAGCCTGTTTACTTGGGTAACAATATTTTAATGCATTTTAGCCAAGTTAATCCCACAGAGCTAAAAATTATGAACTGAAACGTTCCTCCCTATCTTGGGATGTAGTGGATTGTTTACAGAGTTGCTGCTGACCAGTTCTGCAGTCCTTCTGAAAACAATGCACCTGCCCACCCCACAAGAACACAAACAAAACTGCAGAATTAACTGAATAGCAGTTGACTCCAAAACACATCACAGCAAAATTTTACAGGCTGTAAAACAAACTATTTCATTACCACATGGAAGGCCCAGTTCACAGTTTGCATAGGACAGCTTTTCATTTTGGTAGAGGAATCACTGAAAAAACAAAACAGGGACCTTCATTTACTGTTTTATTTCCAAAGACTTCTTTCAATGTAAGGATATTTCTCCATCTACTGAAGCATGAGGCATAACTGAACACATAAAGAAGGCAAATCAGATTTTCATTTAATGCTCTGCTTTAAGAGGAAAATGCAGTTTGAAGAACTTGCTTAAGCCATTGCTAACTTCTGCTAAGAGCTCATTTGTAAATTAACAATACTATAAAAGAAGCAACAAAATGAGAAAGTAATGATAGCCCATGGCTTGAGTGGATCAACATATCTGCATCCAAAAATAAATACTGAAGAAGCTTATGAAGAACATATTCTGCTTGAGCAGGTGCCATTTAAACAAAGCTGCAGGTTCTGTTTTACTTGCTTCGCAGCTCATGTATAACAGACAAGGAAAACAGCAGCCCCTGACAGAAGTAATGACCATAATAAGGGTTTGATTTAACAGATAAAACACAAATGAGGTCACCTCAAAAACTACCACCTGAAACAAAGGGATGATCAAAAAGTTGAAAACTCACCAGCTAAAATGCTGCAGCTCTCAATAATTAATTTCCCACCTGACTCTCATTTCTTTTACAAGGTACCATAAAATACAGTCAGTATTTAAAGCTGAAAGGACTCAAAGGACGCAAGACATTGCTTTTGGTTTGGGGCACTCTCTGTCATATTCAACAGAGGTTGTTTAAATAAAAAAGAAACCGTAAGCACTGCATTTCTCTCACAATTCAGCATGGCCATAACAAAGTCACTGTGCTTCTGCCACTCCAAAACATTCCTTCAGCTGCTTCTTTGTGACTGATTGCAGCAATCCCAAAGGAGCAACTAAGAAACAGGAATAAGTGGCCAGAGCTCAGAAATTCTGACAATTTAGGTGGTATAAACCACCTACACCACCTACCCCAGCGCAAACTTTCTTACCAAAGAAATGCTTCAGCTGTATGGCCCCCAAAACACCACAATTCCCTTCCTGCGTTTCACTGCAAACGGTGCCTAGCGGGTAAAAGTTGGGAACATGATATAACAACTGGAACAAGGGGAAAGAAGAGAAAAAATTATTTTGAGAGGAAAAAACCCAGACAAAAATAAACACCATGAAGCTAAAAAGAGGATTTGAGTAATCAAATTCACTGCTATACTGGAATTGGGTTGCCAGAAGCCAAACTGGTGAAATTGAGCTAAAGCCACTGTATCTTTTATGTACATGTCCAGAAAATTAAAACCTCCAACATATTTCTTTAAAAATGAATTTAGCTAAACATCAACAGGCTCACAAATTCTCTTTCAGATGTCCAAATTCTGTTCAGATGATCAGATTCTCTGTCAGATGTCCAAAAATCAGCACTTTTCCACTTTATCTTAAACATTTAGTGGGTACCAGATGAGCTCTGCTTTCTAGATCACGGATCAGGAAAATGTTTCCTCCAGATTTTTCTCAAGGAAAAATAAAAGTGCTTATGGTTGGAAACAGTCCTGTCTTCTGCAAGAGATAAAGAAAAAATACCAAACACAACTGGCCACTTTTTTTTAAATCCAAAATATAAGTCAGATAAGAAAACCACTAAATATTATTTTTAGAGCTAATTATTCTAGTATAAAGACATTTGCTATTAAAACATCATGGGTAACATTTGTTCCATCTAATATCTGCATGTAAAAAAAAGTCTAACTACATTTTGCTTTTTAATAAAACATGTTTTGAAACCAGGATGGTTAAAATTCCCTTCTCCTACTGTACAGCATGTAATAACTAACTGCAGCTTCCAAAGAGGGACCAAGCACCACTATGTTCTATTTATATGCATACAATTTATTTAAAACTAAGGCTGTGGTCTGGTGCTGTCAGGCAGTCCAATGTTCTTGCTGTCACTCAAGGTGAGGAACGAAAATGTAACCCATTCTGGCAACAGCTGCTGCTATATTAGAACGGAAAGCAGCAGTGTCAACTGCTCTGAGATGACCCCACAACCAGAATCAAACCCTACACCACCACAAACCTCACTCTCCTGCCCTCCCAAACCCACTCATTTTACATGGACATCCAGTTTTTATGTTTTTATTTGTATGCACGTACAAATAGAAGATTTGGAAATTTATTTTTTTCCAACAGAGTATGAAGTAACCTCTTAGTGAGTGATGAACTTTGTCATGATTGCTGCATATACAGAGTCCAACAGAATCCTTTTGCAGAGTACTGGATTCTATTCATGTCTGCTGCAGTAAAACAGCTGAATTCACACACAGAAAAAGTGTATTTAATGTTCACGTTTACATAAAGCACTTATCAAGAACAGAGTAGAAAACAATGCTTAGAGACCATCTTTGAATGCCTTCAGCAGCAGGTCCGCTGCCAGCCCAGGAGACAAGACTCCTTTAAGAACCTTTTCTTCCAGAAGTGGGATCTTATCCTTGACTGCCAAGTGACTCCGGAAATGCTCCAGCATGTTTTCCTGGATGAGGTTCCACATCCACACTTTCTGCTGTTTCCGTCGTTTGGCAACCAGCTCGCCACTTGTGAGCATGAGCTCACGGAACTCGGTCATTTTATCCCACATATCCGAGATCCCCTCCCCGGTTTTGGCAGAGATGCGCATTACCTGTTGGATTCAGAGGAACTGTTAAAGCCCTGTAACCTGCTGGCCTTGAGGCTTCAATTACTGCACCAGGTAGATTGCATGGAAATTAAGAAATGTGTGAGGGAAGCTTCCTTCAATACTCACTTCATGAGGCTCTCAGCATTTCTGTGCCTTTCTCCCGCCCCAAGCCC